CAAGAAGCCTGAAACCGATCACCAATCGCGAGATTTCGTTCAGACTAATCCACTGTAGTTGTTTTTTGCTAAGCTCTATCTTCCTTGCGTTGGAAACGGGGATGGGAGCGGCTGCATCGATCCCTCCCATCGGTGCGCGTCACGGAAAACGGCGGATCAGGGCGAGCGTTAGAGGCTTACACAACTTGGCCCCACGATGTAAGTCGGACGAGCTGTGAGCAGGTGTCATCGCCAAGGGTCTATGGCACACCGGGGCAGCACCCTGCTGTCCACAGCTCCGCTGACGCTCAGTGGACGGCAACAGGCTCACAATGACCCGCGGACGGCGTAAGGACCAGCCCAGTCCGTCGGTCCAGTTCAGGCAAGCGCGCCGCATTCGATGCACCCGAGTGCCGTGCGCGCTCCGAGCACAGGGCAGGACGCTCAGATCGGCGGTCTGGGCAGGACGCGATGCCCGTGACGCCGTGGACACTGTCTGCTACACTCCGGTGCCGAGCTGGTGAGAGCTGCTGGGCCACACAGCGGGGCTCCACACAGCGTGTCGCTGTGTGGAGCGGCGGCGTAGGGACGCCCGTGCACAGCTGCACCGAACGCTCCAGTCGCGTTCAGAGCAAAGACGCGCAAGCTGTCGACCTATTCTCCGTAAAACAGCTGTGTTTAATGTTGGAGCGCACTTGCGCCTCTGTTGCGGTTCGGCCGCCAGGTAAGCGGCTATGATGTCACCGTGCATCTGCCGATGCCGGCGAAAGCGGTGCAGTTGGATCTGTTATCGATCCTGTGCGTCTGCTCGCTCGTAGGAGTCTGCTTTCACATCTGGCACGAGAGGGACACGGAAAAGCTACGGATTCGAAAAAGATCTCTCGCGAACGACGAACAAAACCCTTCCATTTTTACTGCAATGACCCGTTTATTCGTTTGTTCGTCGGACTCAGGTAGTGATGCGGAACTACACTCGTGTTTCCTACGTTGGTTAGTGGTGCTGCGCAAAATAATACAAAACAATGAAACGGCCATAAAATCGCAGATCGGCTCAGTGGCGTAACATTTGTTCGACACGGCCTAACCCGCAAATTAACTATCCGCGCCGTCGAATTTTCAGGAGAACAAAAGGTCAGTGGAAAATGAAAAATGTCACCCAGTTCTCTGGGCCACCCACTGGGTGATTATGGCCATCTAATCCCGGTTATTAATGTGCCATCATTTGTCGTCATTTGTCGCGGTGGTTTCGGGGTGGCTGCTGTCTCTGGACTGATTGGGAGCGGTGGAATGGGACGCTGGGTGACCGGGTAACACGAACCAGAAGACCGTGGATCCTCGGCATCATATGCAATATATCACATTTGTTTTCAGCCTTTCACTCATGATGCGCATCATGCCGATCCTGCTACTGGCTCACAGTTTAATGTTACGAATTTGATTTCAATTGTGTTATTGAAAGGAGTGCGTCACATTTGCATGGGGTTTTGAGCTGAAGTGGCCTTCTTGAAGATCATTCGATACAGCTCACAGCCCTGCCCTCATTAAGACCTAAAATCCTCTAGTTTCTGAACTAGATGCCAGCGACGATGTGCAAACTATGTCAAGGTTTTTCAGTCATGCACGCCACCAAAGAAACGTAACTGACATCCTGCTACCCTATTGGCCAAACGGCGTTCGGGACCACAAAAAACATAATCGCCGGGTGGTTCATATCTGATGTTCGTGAGCACGGTTTTCAGACATAAGGGACGTCAATGGGATCTCAATGAATGTTGTGCACGCTGTGCATGTCACAAACACGAAGCACATTTTGTGCTGCGTAATACAAGAAGTTGGACATTAGTGTTAGTCATTGCGGAAATGATGCTTGCGATCATGTAGTGAGTTACGAAAAACGTCACAACCGAATATGTTAATACAAATAAACAACTCGAACTCCTGGATAAATATGCAAGAACACCACGGGAAGGGACCAAAGCACAAGCACATAACGATATTTGGTTCAATAAAAACCTCCAGCTCTGCCGCGACGACCTCTCGGGAGATCGAAGTGCTGCAAGTGAAAACTAGTGTGACAATTTCGCACGGCCCGTTTGGCAGGACCCCTAACGTCATACAAACGTTCCGGGCGCAATCAAACAATGATTTATTGTGAAGGATATTTACTAGATATAAAATTGTGCTCCCTAGGGCAGTCTTTCCTACTTAAAAGTATACTCATTGTTATAAATGCGCTTATTTTGTCATATGTGATGCTCGCTTCACTGTATTTAAATGAAGAACATTCCTTTTAAATAAGACAACATGTACCTGATTTAATAAAAACAAAGAGGGGAGCAAGATAAGCATGGCACTAAACCACCTATAGTGTACACGCAGATGCGTTCGCTGATCAGGTAACGTAAACACGCTCCGAATCGAGCCATGTTTTACATTTTTTCTCAAACAAGCCCTTGTGAACGGCTCTGCCTGCTGTCATGGCCAAGCAGATTGTTCGGCCGCCATTTTGCAACACAGCCGCCATTCATGGAACCAATCGTTGACCTGACGCAGAACCAACAACTTCATGCTCGGGATCCCAATCGACGTCCTAGGCGTGATAACACCTTCAGCTGTGAGGGGCGGGAAGGGTCTGTGGCCCGTGCAGGTATTTGATTTATTTTAAAGTTGGTGTTCTGCCCAACAGCCGTCGTGGGCCCAGTTTTGGAGGCGTGGCCGGTCCTCTGGCGGTTGATGGGTCCGGTTTTTGTCGATCGGTAAAACATAATTGTTGCACACAGGGAAAGCTGGAGAAGATCCACGTCAAATCTGTGCCAACGTTTTGGCGCCGGAGGCGTGAAGGGCTCCTCCAAGACTTTACGACACGCACTTGTGTTTGTGTGTACGGTCGGCAGCTAGTGAACACCCCGACAATTAGGCTTTTAGATAATTCGCACTCACTCTGAAGCCAGATCTGGTGCTTGCATCAGCATTTTGTCGCGAGGTAAACGCTCCTAGTTTGGTGTGCTAAGCTCAGGGATTTATTTCAGCTAGCATTGCGCCCGGCTCGTGTCAGCAGCACGAGAAGAGAACGGAAGACATGTTAAATGTGACAGCAACATATCATACGTTCGATGTAGCGTTCTATAGGGATGGCTGCGGGATCAAAGCCCTCATTGACAATTCACAATCCCGGGAGTCATCTTCCTCGGAGAGCAACTCAAGCTCATCGGGCACTTTCTGCCGGATTATTTTAACGTGTCAGCTGTCGCATGCCATTGTGACGCGGCCGCCTCGCGCTAGCCTGACGCGTGCGGCGAGTCCTTACTTGTCCTGTTTTGCCAAGCCACATATGAGTGGTTCCAAAGACGTGAGCACGCGTTTCTGCCACGTAGCGGCCAGATGTGCGGTGTTTTACCAGCGGGTCACAGATGCGGCGTACTGCAGGCACATATGGGGGTCCGTCCGAGGCACCCCCGATGAGCTGGGCGCGCTAGACGACACCGTCCTGTGACGCCTTGGAAAACGTAAAAACGCCGCTGCGTGCAGGAAAATGTCGGCTGTTGGCCTGGGCTGTCCGTTGGCCGTCTGCCCAGTCTTGCGGAGTGTTCGAGGCGCGTGTTGGTGCCGACTCAACAGGCTGCTGGCACATACAGTCCGCGCGTTACGAGGCACAAATCCAACTGCAGATTGTCAGATCGTTTCTCTGGCGCTGTTTGGGTTCGCATCACTGTCGGTTTGGGAGATGCCATCATGATCTCATCGTTCTTCTACTAGGGATGCAGTGTTTGCCTCACTCATCCGGTCGGGTGGGATGGCCCTGACGATGCTACGACCAGCTACGCGCTCCACGGCACCAGGCACCTCGACCCTCCCCGGCCAATGGAGAGCGCGTGCCACCGCGTGGCTAATGCTAGTCGTCTGCCCGACCAAGCCCATTGTTTTGCGATCGTGGTTCTGGCAGTGATTTTCCGGACTGACATGTGATGGCCCGACGGACCAGTCCTTGGGTGGTGCTCCGGCCATGCAATTCGTCCATGGCGATCGGGACGTAGCCCGGTTTGTTGACCTCTGCTCCGACCCGTCGGCCAGCGACCGCGTCCATCAGCAGGTACTCTGGGCATTGGCAGCCCGGCTCGGACCATGACGCCGGCCGCTGGCGTATGCGCCGGCAGCCCGGCCGGCTGTCGCCATGTGCCGCCGGCGGCAGGTGGGCGCCGTCGCGCCGTCGCCGCCGGCGGGGGGTGACGGCGGCCATACGGCTGCGCTCTGGCGCGCCCCATTCTCTCGCGGCGGGCGCCGATCCCGCAGAAATAGCCGGCCGCGCCGCCCGGGGAGGCGCGCGATCCGGCGCCGCGCACCGCCGCCGCCGCGGTCGAGACGTCGGACCGCCTGACAGCCGCTCAGACGAGCGTTGTTCGGCATTTGTCGGACAGTTTGTCACGGCAGCAGGCCGATCATACGCGACATTCGTGGGCGTCCCGAGCGGCGGGCGAGGTGCTGCATTGGTCGTTCCTCGCGCGCTGTGTCTGGCCACCGCCCGCCCGGCTGCTTGTACCCCGCATGAGTATGTGTTCTCCGTGCGTCTCCCCGCAGCTTGAGGTGTTTCAGGGCGTGAGTAGTCGCGCTCCTCGCATGCAGGCTCAGCCGCCAGTGTTCATCGTCGCCGCGCGCTTCAAGCGCCGCCTCTCGGCCGCTCTCAATGGCCGCGTCTTGTGCCTGGCCCGGGACACGCCGCCGTCGGCGCGCCACCGGTTATTTGTGCAGGCGATTAACCGGCCGTGCGTCATACCGGTCATCAGCGGCTCCATTCTGGTCCTGGCGCCACCGCTTCTGGGCGTGCGGTCACCAAAAACAGCGTCGGCCGTCGCCAGCGGGCGTCATTGGCTCCGTCAGCGCGTCACCGACACCGGCTCGGCAGCCGCGTGCGGCGGCGCTTCTTGGAGCCGGCGACCGGCGGATCAGTACCGCTGCACGGCCGGCTCGTTAGCCGGCCCGCGTGCGTCGCCACGTGGCACGCCTGACATCCGGCCGTGTTGCAGACTATGGGCGGAGGTGTTCCACGTGTCGTCCACCGGCTCGGGCACGGTCAAGTGGCAGCAGATCTCGGACGACCTCGTGCCCGTCAGCCTGACCTGCATCCAGGACTCGCCCAGCTACGTGTTCCACATCACCGCGTACAACTCACAGGTGGACAAGATCCTGGACGTCCGCCTCACCCAGCCCGGTAAGGCCCGCCGCGGTGCTCACAGGCCGGTATTGGTCCGCCGCCTAATGACCCGATCGCCTCCCCCCGCCCGCCGGACGGTAAGCGACGCCCGCCGGTCGTCCCCGTAACTGATGCCTGGCATCAGCGGCGGCCGGCTGCCGACGCCGCCTGATGCATGGACGGGGACCGCTGGCGGCCGCGCTGGGACTGGGCGGGCGCCGAGCGCTGCCGCCCCGCCGCCCGACACGACCCCGCGCCTCCCTGGGCGGCTCCGTGCTGCCCCACGCGCCACTCTGTGCGGCCCGCTGCTCTTTGCCTAGGGCTGCGCCACCCTGATCGCTGTGCCCAGCGTCTGCGACGTCGACGAACGCTCAGACCCTTCTTGACGCGTTTCTGATCGGGTTGCGCTAGTGCAAGCATGTCAGATGATGCGCTAGGGGCCCCCGGGGTCAGCTGACGCGCTAGGCCCCTATTAATCCCTAGGGGTTAATGTGGCCACGGCGGTAGCTGGCGCTCCATAAAAAGGAAGTGACGGCGCGCGTCGCGTTCCTAAAAAAAGTCGCCGCATCCCGCCACGCCATGGAAAGATCGCAAGCGATGAACTCGAAGCGTAATATTATGCTGGCAGCTACCATATCCAACAATGCTACGCCGTCTGTAGATACACGACTTAAAACAAACCATATTTATCTTACATGGAAAATTTCGCTGCCACATGATCATTTCAAGTTTCAATAGCGGCAACAAGGCGAAACTTTCAGGGAGGGGCTGTAGTATTGCAGTCCAGTATGAGCCTCCATCGCAGTCAGCTTGAACAATATCTACCAAAATCTGCCAATTCAGAGTTTCTTTACGCCTAGTTATTTAACATGTTGTCGTAGGAAATTAGTTTTTTAACAGGAAATGCTCGTTGTCAACAGCCCGTAAGAAAGCGCGTTATTGATTCACACATCCACTAAGGCGTCACCATACCGAAGACCATGACGAGCAGACGGCGCTTCACGAAGCCTAGAGTGGTGACGTCATGCGTGCAGAACCAGGGGGCATGATGAGATAGATACGATATATGTTATAATCATATCCATTTTAATATTTTATAGGATATTGTTAGGTTTGAGCGCAAATTGTACGCTCATGTTTGACCATATCACTTGGATAATTAAACTTTATTCTGATTGGAATATGTGTGAGACTCACGGCCGTTCGCCTGTCTCTCCTCGACTTAATGGATGAATGGGCCATTAGGATTGATCAGCTCCTCCTCAGCCATGATGCCCTTTGAGTATTTTTTTTTTACTTTAGAGGATATATAGAGTTAGGCCGCAGCCAGGATGTTATGGTGGGATGTGATAGGTCGATGGCGTTATTTCGCAAGGATAGACATAAGTTTAGAGCCAACCGATTTTGTGACCCACCTGTTTTTTCAATTTTTCAGAAAAGTTTCAATTTTTTTTCAAGATTAGCCTCTGACGTTTTCAGAAAACGTCAGAGGCTACAGTTTTTCAAACGGTTGTGCAAGCACGCGGGAAAGGCCTATTTGCAGCGGGTAACACCTGTTTACATAGATTGTTGTACGGCTCAAGGATGGATATGGGTGCGGCGATTTTAATCATGAAGAGCTCTTGTAGTGCCCACAATGCGCTACAGTACGGCAGCTGTTGATCGAGCATACTCGTGGGGGCAGCGGCGTATGTTTTCACACACAATGCCCGTGTCCGCCATCGTCGCCTTCAGGGGTGGGGTATACACCATACCAAACATGAGCAACTGTTACTTCAAAGCATTTACAAAGCGGTATATATGTAGCGCACCTAGCTCCCGAGAAAGACATTTAATGCAACTAAGCCCTGCCCTCGGCCTCAGTGTGTATTGCGACAGGTATAACGGTACTATTGTCGCTCGTGAAATTGTGGATTCGGTTCACCAAGCTGTAACTCGGCGCTGAGTGTCGACTTCCGCTAGAAGTTAAGAAAATTGCGGCGCAAATAGTCGAGTGGAAATTGAAAAAATGTCGGGCTGGTCGAGCTCAGGGCACATAAAACGACGGATGTACGTCGCAACGTTTCACGGAGGATGACATGTGTAACTCGGTATGCAGCACTTAACCACCTCCACCCAACCCTGGTAAGACTCACAGTCCTCTGGCATTCGCTGAGAATAGAAAACTGCCAGCAACTCATTTGATCAAAATACAAATTTATCAATTTGGTTAACATGGGGAACATAAATTTGATAATTCTCTTAAAAATGGGGAACACATGTGGACATCATGCTCGGCTCTGGACAACCCGATGTCGCAGCGACACGAGAGTGACCTGTGAAGTGAGGAGAGAACAGACAATGGCATCGGCAGAAGTGTGGTTCGATTTGTGCACCTGGTCACGCTTTCTCGTGCGCAAACCATTGGTCCACCCACCCTGGGGGCGTTTTTAAGAGCCAATCTTAGATCTTTGCAACCAGGGCAAGAAAAGGCATGCAATCAAGCGCACGGTGTAGCCGGAGGTTCCGTCCGCAAGTCCCTGAGCGATATGAATGATGTCCGACTCATGGTATAGCGTGCCATAATCAGACGTGACAGGTGAGTCAGTTAGCGGTCTCGTACCAACCGATGTTATCTTTTCCAAAGTCGGCATCGAACACAAGACACCGGCTTACACCGAGGAAAACTAGATTGTGAAAACGCTTAGGCAAATATTGCAGTGTGCGGTGACCATTATGAACTCAAAATATTTGTGCGTTTCATCTAATATGCTCACAGTCGCTGAATAAGTCTACCATTCCAAATCCCTAATTTTTTCACCTTAAGCAAAAACTGCCGGGGTTCAACAGGCCGAAAACAGGCAGTTCCCAAGCCGTTCTATTCGTAGATGTTTGTGCGAGCTCCACACACCTCTGCCTTGGGACAGCATGAAGCAGAGCTATTGTCATGCAGTGATGAGGCCTATTTGTACGTGTTTCCACGGACGACTTACTCCTTCCGCCAAGGTTTGTTTTAATCTAGGCGACGGTGACACAGATATCGGTAATCACCCCTCCGTCGTCCCAGATCGCTGAGCCGAGCTGTTGAGTGTGTCTTGCTGGTGCATACTTGCTGGTACGTGATTTAGAATCAGTGCTGTTACGAGTGTGATTTTTAAATGCATTAAACGAGCATTGTCGCCTCAAAATAGAAACACGACAGTTTCAAGTACTGATGTCAATGAATGGAAAAAAGTAACAGTGTTTCCAGGACTCAAAACCTAATGGAATTATTGCAGGTACGCTGACAGACCTTTCAGCTTAAGGTTTGGAGTTGATGTTTGATGTAAACAGATATCGTTCGCTTTGACAGCCATCCGCTATCTTCGGCGACGGCAACAGACATGATGTGACACACCATTTGTGCTGTCTGCAAACCACTCGGGAGAGAAGGAAGAGAAAGACGAGTAGTCCAAGGCATTATTTGATATTATTAAAAAAAGAGCAATCAAGATCAGTGATGTCAGTTTCTAGAAATCGGTGATCGATTTAAAGCTCATTTATAGGTATGATCCGAATCACATCCTGACCCCAATTTACAGTCTGAATCGGTTTAGTTTTTGACAAGCATTGGTCCGGGTGACATATTGACATGACATGTTACCATGTTCCTCTTCTTCCAGAAGAATCGTTCTCAGCCCATCAGTGAGAATATGCCTTTTCCACGGAAATTCACTGGCCGCATTGCTGTAACATCTCCAAATGTCATGTCATATAGCCAGACGTAGCATGTGGCTGGCGGCGCAGACGTGAGCTACATATCGGCCCAGCAGCGCCAGTGTCTGCTGCGACAAGTGCGCGCGCTGGCCCTGTTCCCCAGCTGGCACGTGTTTCCCCTCTGAGCGGCCGCGTACGATATTCCAATTCTTATAGCAATATTGATGGTCAGCAGCACACACCCCTTGGCCATGTGTTCTCATCTTAGCTGCAAGATGTACGTTTTTCTTATGCTGTGTCACGGTACATACGCAATTGTGGAGCTCGTCGCGTATAGGCGTCTTGTGCCCAGTCCATGAACGTATTCTTGCATGACAGAACAGAGGTCAGCTCTGGAGACTTTCAGGGTGGAGATGCCACCATGGCACGCATGATTGGCCCGTAGTCCTCAACACAAACCGCCGTTTATGCGTTGCGTCGTGCTTTCGAGTCGGCCAAATGGCGGGCATCAGACACAGAACACAGAAACCGAACTTCCTCGTCACTTGAAAAAGGTTTGAGCCGGAGCTCCTTTATGACATGAATGACAGCCCAACAATTGCGTCCCCGTGGCCGCTGGTGGTGCCGCAGACGCCTTCACCGCCTCTGTAGGCCACGGACATTCCTCTCGACCGGTTTCATGGTTGGGGGCATTCCAAGCTCAGCCGCATCAGGCGACCCTGTTTGCGCGTAGCTCCCGGCCACACAGATCCCGGGTCAAATCAAAAATGGTCTGGCCTGACAGATAGCATCAACAGTTTCCTTTTAGTTGAAGAACCTGTTCCTATCTCCCATCGATTGTTGCCGGTCTCAGCAGCTGAACGGAGCATCGACGGCGGCTCGCGGCGCCAGCTGGACATCTGGCGGTGAAACTGCAAAGCTCAGCTTCTTCCTCATGACGACGTCGTTGGGAGTAGTCCAAACATGAGTCCGAGTTTCAATCGAGGGTGAACAAATGCTCACAGGAACGCAGACAAAACTGTTTGTTCTTAGGGGAGGTGAGCAGCTGCCAAAGCTTTCTGAAACTCTGCGAATTTTGACCGAACTCCTGCGAGATCGCCTATAATCTTCTACACACCTCTGCTCAGATGGCGGTCATGCCCCAGCGGCTCTCCGTTTGGCTACGCCCTGACACCAGTGGACCCTGCACACGCTCCATTTTTCAGGGTCAAGTTCGGATTTGTCCCCACTGGCTGCTCGGATGAAACGGATTTGAAATAAATTCACTCGGTGACTGAATCGGAATTGATCTGATTCCCTTCATAGATGCGGGCTCAGCCACATTTGCACTGTTGTATCGCCGGCTTGTCAGTTAATACTGTCAGTTTGAGTTACCAGAGCTGCACAGGCGCATCCACGCATGGACGCGGGGTTTAGGTTGCGAGAATGGAAGTGCCGAAATGCCGCAATGTCATGGTTTGGAGGGTAGGGGGACGTGTCCCCTTATCCTTGGCTTGCCCTTCTTTTCATAACACCTTGCATATATTATCGTTGTTCATATACCAATACTGTCATTGATAAAAAGTGGCACGCAAAAGGTCTTATTCCTGATATATGTGGGAAGGTCTCTAATTAAGTTTTTTTGGAAGATCAAACTTATAATGTTCAGGGTTCTTATGACAAGTTTTCATGGCAAGATCAGAGTTCTGTTCCTTTTAGCGTCGGCGGCACAGGCGGCAGAACTCACACTGTGTTCTGGGCATCCATTCCCAATTCAACTGGACCGTTCAAATCGCGTAGTTAAACGAACCTGTCCGTTTTTTCCCCTTTTCTTTTGTTGTTTCGGTAAGAGTGGATATTCAGAACACTGAATGAAATCTGGCGAGAACCAGACCAGATTGCTCCGCGCGATATAGCTTGGACGCTACATCAGGTCCGCGAATAGAGTGGACAGATCAGGCAAACCAATTTTTACGCGTGATGTTCCCGTTTACAGGTGACAAACTGTGCAAACAGGTCAAAGCCGCCGTACGACCGAGTGGTTGACGTGACATAAGGGGAGCGTAGTCTATTGGTCCAAGTTAAAAGGCCATGCGAGAGATACGTTTACGAAGGCCGTGCGCACCATTAGAGGAACACGTGGTAGACCGACATGCAGCGGTGGAAGTGCAGCATAGTGCAACAAATAACAATTTCTGAAAATAGATTTTAGCAGCAGCTAGATACAATACGGACATCAAGACGTTAAAATCACTGCACATTCATAATCTCCGTCGAGCCTGAACACAAACGACATGCTAGGGGCTGGTTCGAGCAACATTGTTCAGGTCATGCACGCTTATAAATAACTCCACATTTGTTGTGATGGGCACTGATATCCACTTGCACTTTTTCCATGCTGATACTCGTGCAGGTTGTCGAAACTTTTCTTCTTAGCTGTCCTTGTGTCGGACAGCCCTTGGAAGTACTGTGTTTTGGACGCTTGCACATGAGAGCCAGACTACCCGGGATGTTTGTGAGTTTCAGACAGTGTTCGTGGTGTTTGTTGTTCGTAGTACGTACTTTCCCATCCTAACGCTCGATACGGTTTATCGCAACCTTCCGGCCAACCCCCTTGTGTTTCGTGCAGCCTTTACCATGAAACCATGCATTGGTGTTAAGGTGTAGAAGCTCGGGCTATTCATTTTTCGGACATTTTTTGTAAGTGTAAGCACTTAATATATAATGATAAGCACATAGTGTAAAATTAAGTCTTATGCGCATTTTTTGTTTTGCCAAATCTTGCCTACCCTTATTCACACGTCGTTAAAGGCACAGCTTGTAACGTCAAACATCGTGCTCTATAACCCCCACCTCCTGGTACAGTGGAGGTTAAACAACTATCAGCATAATAACACTGAACTTATGATGGCGGAAAGACAGGAGCTCCAGGCCTCTCTTGTCTATATCGAGCAAAGTTTGAAGGCAGAGACACTATAGTTGAATTGATACACTAAATTTATCCACTTAAGTTCGTCTGTTCTGTCAGTGCTGGTTCTCATCAGAAGTGGGAGATGTACGTATTGCATTGTATATTGTATATAGAGATGTACGTATATCATTTCCCGTACGGCTTTCTCGTCTTGTTTATTGGCAGGTTTCGTCTGATTTTGATCATTCTTTTGAATGTTTGGATATTGGGCCTATCTTGATTGTTCGACAAAGTTCATGTTCATTTGTCCTTGTACTTTTGACGTAAGAATTAGAAAAAAACATATTCCGTCTGACTCATTCTCATTCTAAATTGTAATCCTGCCCAGTAAAAACAATGTTTGAATTGACGCCTAAAAAACACAAAAGCGCTAATGTTATAGCGACGTTTGGTGGGTTAGTCATGCAGCATATGCATTCTCTTCAGCTTCAAAGAAACCATTCCAATATATATATATATATATATATATATATATATATATATATATGCGTTGAATGCCGTATACTATCGAAGCTGAATGTGTCACGTGTCAGCTGTTAACACGCATTTTTACACCGGAACTGGAAGCGAGTGTGGGACCGCTTTCCTCATTTGAGGACATCGTTCATCGCGATTACTCTTGTGACCAGCCACGGTTCATCCTAAGTGCGCGTTAGCGGGTATCCGGTGCTCGAAGCATCCGAAGCGTTGCCCGCATCATTCCATCACATCTCACATGTTTTAGTTAACTAGATCATAGTCAGTAAAAGCATGGCAGCGTGGTATAGATCTTACAGCGCAGTGATTCATTATCATTTACGGCGCCATAAGTCCTGATCGGCGCCAGTAACTAACGCCAATCAGGACTTCCCATCGGCTGCGACCGTGGCTGAGGCTGGGGTCCGGAGGTGGCATATCTCTGCCTGTCGCTGTCTGCTGGCGGCTGTGGCGCAGGTTGAGGTCGGGGAGTAACATGTCTGCTAGATGTGAACCAGCGAGGGCGCGTCACACGCTGCACGGACATCGGACGAAAATGACCAGGTGTGCCCTCGACAGCACCAATTCTTACCTATGCGGGTCAACTTGTTCAGTAAACACCGAAGCATGCGAGCATGAAAACCGATCATTCGGACGTTGAACTTCCGTTTCCTGCTTGACTGAGGAACAAACACAAATTTCCTAAAGATCAGAGAACTAGGCGATTGGACAATCTGTGATGCTCAGTGGCGTCATCATGTGACACATGCGAACAATAACCCTCTGACTGCATGTGAACCCATAGACCAACACTTCAGACTGGTCTGGCAACCTGAAGTCACAGACCAACACTTCAGACTGGTCCGGCAACCTGAAGCCATAGACCAACACGACAGACTGGTCTGGCAACCTACGTGCACGCCGCTATCCTTGGCCACTATCGATACCCCGCGAAGCGGCAGCACTTTCGGGTGGTCTTTCAGGACTCTCGAGTGGTCCCTCAGGACTCTCGAGTGGTCTGTGAAGACTCTCGGATAGTCTCCCAGCACACTCACATGGCCTATCAGGACCCTCGAGTGACCTCTCAGGACCCCCGGGTGATCTCCCAGGACTCTCAGGTGATCTCTCAGGACCATCGGGTGGTCTCTCAGGACCCTCGGATGGTCTCTCATGACCCTCGGGTGGTCTCTCAGGACCCTCGAGTGGTCTCTCAGGACCCTCGAGTGGTTTCTCAGGACCCTCGAGTGGTCTCTCGGAACCCTCGGGTGGTCTCTCAGGACCCTCGGGTGGTCTCTCAGGACCCTCGGGTGGTCTCTCAGGACCGTGGGGTGGCCTCTCAGGACTCTCAGGTGATCTCTCAGGACCATCGGGTGGTCTCTCAGGACCCTCGGATGGTCTCTCAGGACCCTCGGGTGGTCTCTCAGGACCCTCGAGTGGTCTCTCAGGACCCTCGAGTGGTTTCTCAGGACCCTCGAGTGGTCTCTCGGAACCCTCGGGTGGTCTCTCAGGACCCTCGGGTGGTCTCTCGGGACCCTCGGGTGGTCTCTCAGGACCCTCGGGTGGTCTCTCAGGACCCTCGGGTGGTCTCTCAGGACCGTCGGGTGGCCTCTCAGGACCCTCGAGTGGTCTCTCGGGACCCTCGGGTGGCCTCTCAGGACCGTCGGGTGGCCTCTCAGGACCCTCGAGTGGTCTCTCGGGACCCTCGGGTGGTCTCTCAGGACCCTCGGGTGGCCTCTCAGGACCGTCGCGCGACCTTCCCCTGCTAGCGCAGCCACCGAA